TATTGCTTATTTTTTGTATTTGTGTCATCGATTGAATTCCATTATATCTATATATTTCAAGACCGTAGCCACTTTACTCTTATTTATCTTGTTTTTCTATTTTTATGCATCTTTTTTTTTTACTGTAGTCTATTGTACTTCAAGGTGTTGACATGGAGAGATGTCAAACGTAATTTCATTGTACGAGGACAAATGAAGTTCTTTCTTTTTCTATATTTAAATATTCAAACAAACTTTATCTTCGCATACTTTTACTTATTAGTTTAAACCACTAAGTCTAAGTTCAGTTATTTAATCTAAGGGTTAAAGAAGTGATCTCTTTTATAGAGGTGCACTGATTGCAGTTTTCTGCCCGATCACCGATTTCTAAAAAGCCTGACCTGCCGATTCTGATTTGGTTTTATTATATAAATAACACTGTCAGGTGTTATAAGGTCACAATGCACCTTCAATTTTCCAATATTATTTTAATGAAAAACATACCCTTGAACAATATCCTAGAAACAATACAAACTGGTTTTAACTGGCCATGAGGCAGTGCTCTGAAATATAAATGAAGTTTAGACAATTGTTGTTAAAACTACAAAAAAAAAAAAAATCTGTAAAATTGGTTTCTCATGTAAGTATCGGCCGATCTCCGATTTCCCAAAATTAAGGAAATCGGGGCCGATAAATCATTGCACCCCTACTTTTATTCAACTTAATGAGTCACAAGATAACATTAGGTCACAAGAGCTGAGGTAAATATTGAGATATCAATGAATCCTTTATATTTTCTTTATTTTTTTTAATTCTGGTGTTTCCGTTTTGTTGATTATCTCATGAATTAAATAATTGTTTAGTTGCTGTGGAGAAATAAAATAAAAAAGTTTAAACGCTCATATATTGGTAGATCTTAGCACCGATTGCAAACAGATTTACCAAAAGAAGTCCTATTTTTGTTTTTGTCATTACATTTCCATTAGCGCAGTGAACTGTTTAGATATTTGAAATAAAAGTAAATGCTGCAAGCTCTTCTGTAATAAGGTTTCTGCAAATGAGAACAAACTAATATTTCTTTTACAAAATCAAACTAAAGTAAAACACTTTTTTCAGCAGTTTATTGGTGTCTTTTCCATCTTTAACTCCTCATTAAATCATGATGCATTCTAATAACGATGACATTTTAAACCCAACCTAAACTTTATGTTTGAATCTTAAAGGCCTTAATGTGTCCTGTTTTACTGATTTTGATCCCTTAATATTTCTTATACAGTATGTAAATACTTTATATGTATTATAAGTCTTTCTTTCTTTCTTTCCTCAGCTGTCAAAGCTGTTTCGTTCGTGTCTGTACTTCTTCCTGTCATGCCTCTTCTTCCACACGGTGGTTGTTCTCTATGGAGCGCCGCTGATAGAGTGAGTATACAACTATTTATCAATGTGGTTTAAAGGTTTGTGTTTGCTTTTTTTTTTTAGTTATATTTGAAGTTTCTCTCAATCAGTATCAGTTGTTTTGCGTCTGATGAATTTCAGATCTGCTTTGGAGACATTTTCCCTGGCGGTTTTCTTAACTTCCCTCACCACTCTGAGGTGCCTCTGTGTTCTCGGTCCCAACGTTCAGGCCTGGATACGAGTGTTCAGCCGACACGGGTAAATTCATTTTTCGTCCTCTCTCTGTCGTTCTACTGCATGCATGTACATTAATATATTCCCTTTCCTCCTCTGTCCTCAGAGCCATGTCTGTGTGGGACACCTGCCTGCAGATCACAGTGGCCTGCACCCTGATAGGAGCCTGGGTGGGAGCATTCCCGATCCCTCTGGACTGGGACCGGCCGTGGCAGGTCAGCAGCTCACTGCACTGGGAACATCCCAACACAAACTGAAGCATATTCCGCTTTATTCTAATCCTAATTTTTATTCTTGTGACATCCATCCCAAATATAATACGTCAAGTCATATGACTTTTTATAGATGCTTGATCAAGTTTACAAGTTTTATCTTATATATATAGAGAGAACGCTTAAGGCCTTTAAAGGCAATTGAAATGTGCTGCATGTCTGGCACTGAACGTCCTCGAAGTTCTGGTCAAGTTTCACACCTCAGTGGGGTTCAGGGTTATTTATTTATTTTGTTTAAAACAAACTTCTAGAGATCTGTGCAGTGTCAAAGCCACAG